CTCAGAAGATAACGGTTCTTTTCTTTCCATTATTTAAACTGCTAGGAAGAGCATACCTTTTGCGTATTGGCTGCCACTTTTGCAGATTAATCACATGAGAGAGGAAGGATGTACTAAAGAAAACAGAAGCTACCAAACCAGGAAAGATCACACAAAATTTCTTAAGGTTAAGCTTGAATAAAACAGGGAAGTGTTACAAATTTCTTCAGAAATGCAGTGGAAACAGGACATACCCATTTTATGGCCAGATCCTGCCATTACTACTTGTGTCAGCTGTAAGCTTTTTTTGAAACTACTCTGCAACAAGAACAGCACATCAGAGAAGATTAAGGCCTTTGTGTGGATTCTTATTGGTCTTGTAATTTTTAAACATATTATTTTTCATAAACTACTCTTATAACTGTTTTTATGCACCTAACCAAAAGAATGGTATCAACAAAACAGAGACTTTTTTAACTAAGAAGTGTTCTTGAGGCTGTTTGTTTTCATGTGTGATTGGTTGGTATGTTGTAGTTGTACTTTCAGAATAAAAAAATTGAGATGCTGTGATCTCATCATCAATTGTTTATTTTAAGGGAATAAAGGAAGAATTTCCTTTGTACTAAAACTGAGGCTTAGTGTATATTCATGAAACAATAAATAATCAGGATACCATGTTTTATGTTCTTTGTTCTGATGCATTTTTTAAATAATGTGGATATATGGAAAAAATGCCAATAGACATAAGATCTGCTCCTTATAAAGTTCCGTATTACAGTATCTGCCATTAAATTAGTTTTTCTAGTGGGTAAGCGTCAAGGGTGTAGTGAGAGATCAAATAAACTGTTAACATCACTGGTGTAGGCTTTTGTTTTGGACATTGATGGAGAAATCTTGAAATTAATTCAATAGATCAGAGACCAGATATTAGGTTTATGTTAAGTGTAGTACATTTCCTATTGATTGTTTTGATAGAAGATTGTTTTGGTGTTCAATAGCCACGTTGTTTCTCTTTTTAATAGTGCACCTTCCCTTTTTGTTGTCAACTGTTGATATTGTTTATATGGTTTTGACAAGTTATTTACCATATCCAGCTGGAATAATAGAAGTAAATGTGAGAAAATACACATACAACTTGTTAAGCAAAAAACAATACTGAACAGAAAACGAGGAGAGGAAAAACTAGAGAAAACTAAGTAGCTATAAACAGTATTTAATTGCATTCTGCACATCTTCCAATTTATTAGGTAAAAATGTAATCTAGAACACTGAGTGGCCAATAGTATTAACACTAATCTTTCTTTACAGTTATTCGTTGTTTGCTACACCAAATAGTAGGGCTCTGCAAAGTTGTATCCTGTAAAAGACAATTGCGTAGAGTGGCTCTCCAGTTTTGTACTGTACAGTTCAGGGTTGATATCATTGCAATCTTAATGTTGTTATTGCAGCGAAGTAATTTAAGAGTAAAATCTTTTAAAATAGTTCATTTAGGCTTAACTCAATAGAGAAGAGACACGTCCCGTGCTTGGACTTCTTTTATACTAGCTCTCTCCAGGATGCTACTTATTTTCATTCAGTCTATTTCAGGGCACTTTTGAAACGCGTTTGCACCTAATTCCTAACTGCACAGACAAAATCATCACACTTCAATATAGTTGTATTTGTGGCTGCTAGATATCTGGTAGAAATAATTAGTGATTGACGTAGGGGCCATAGGGGTTGGAAAATCTGTTTGTTTTTTTTTTCTTTTTGGCTAGGATGAGAATCTAGGTGAGATCAAATCTAACGAGAAAGATGCAAAACTCATTGAAGTCAGTGTATGTCGTTCTGATTACTTCAGGAATTTAACGCCAATCTGAGTGAAACAGTTTATCTCAGAATTGGCTTGAGGAAATACTGACCAATTTGTTGAAGAAATGGGGAAGTGAGGGAGAGTTGAGAGAAAAGTACCATGTAGGTAGCTAGGCCAGACATTTCAGAGGTGGAAATTAATAGGAGAGCAGCAGTGCTTGAAGGCACATGCTGCTACTATACATACAATATGGCATGCATTATTTTGAGTGATGTTCAATGGCTCAGTTTAATAGGGTGGATAACAAAGGCAGAAAGTTAGGATTTAAAATCAAACTGCTGTTGGTTACATAAAGAAACTAACCTTTAATATGCCACAGTAACAGTGATTTCTCTGTGTTTCAAGTTTGGAATCATTGCTATAGCTGTGAATATGTGATAATATGTATATTGTGATAAGTGGTTTAAAAACATGTTCTAGTTTGAAAGAAGTAAACAGAGCTAACAAACTTTTCAACAATTGCTCATTTACTGTAGATATTTACAGTTGTAAATATTAAATGTCGTACCTACACTCCAAAAATACTTCAGTCTAAAAATATTTATTATCTTACAGATTCCCTCAAATGTGAGATATAAGCTGTTAATCATTGACAGTGAATAATGAACAAAGTAATGCCAGATTTGGAAATGTTTTCTCTAAATGCTAGCAGGAAAATCCTGTAGCAATCAAGAACAGAAAGATTTGTGCATATTCCTCATTAAAACAATAACGAAAGTGAAAGCTGTTGCTGATCATCTTGGTTTGAGAAAATACAGGTCTGCCTATGTTAACTGGAGAAACCATCAAAACAACAGGATCCGCTATCTTGTGAAATAATCTTAAGAATCCCTCAGAGAACTTTACTGTGTGAAGTTCCGTGCATCTTACATATACCTGGAGGGAGCGGATCATTTTTTTCTTTCGTCATAGGCTATGAGTTGACTTTTATTCAAGAATGGCTTTTAAGAGGCTTGGTGGAAAAAATAGGAATTTATATCATAATAAAAGTTTTTGTACTAGTCAGATTTGAAGTTTAAACAATATCTTTAATCAAAAGTTGAATTGTAAATAAAAAAAAACAGACTTGTGAAATTTCTGTGGCTTTTATATGCCAGAGACGCATCTACATGGGCAAAAAATAGTGGTTTTTGTGTGTCAAAAAGATTCAAAATTTTATATGAAAATGCTGTGAAAAAATAAACATAAACGGATCCAAATGGAACTTGTCATTATGAAAGTTACTGATTATTATTTTGCATGAATAAACATATAAGCACTAAAGACTTTCTTAAAAATTATTTTGATTAGGAGGAGAAAACAATTTTAAATTTGACTTTATTATGAGTTATTTCTAAGGAAAGTTTATGTGTTGTTAATAGGAGTTATAATTTACGTTCTCTAGTTTTTAACTTTAAAAGATGAGTTTTGCTCACATTAAGGACAAATAATCAGAAACTAATATCTTAAAATTTCTTTTGACTTAGAAAAATCCGACCAAGAAAATACTGCTGAAGGAGATAAAGACATAATACAGCCTTCCAATAACCAAAGTATACAACCAGAGATACAGGAGCAGGCTGTCTGGGGAAATCACACTGATGGTGACCTCATCAGAAGTAAGTATTTCCAGAACAGATTGCTGCCCTTTAGGCTTGCTTTAGTATTGTACCAGGATACTGCCTGTTGACTCAGTAAAACGCACATCAAATGCATTGTGTTGCAACTATGATGCATGTCTACAGAATTTCTTTGCCGGAATGACTCATACTATCAGCATGTATCAGCAAAGAGTCGAAACAAAGGTGTAATATGAGCGTCTTCTGCTGCAGCATGCTCGAGAACTCTAAAGCATTTACCCTTTAAAGCCTTAAGGTTATATTCTTTCCTTATTGTTCATAATGGCTTAAGGCAGAAGGCTGATGAACCGTAGTGTGCTGCTTGTGCTAAGTATCATCATCTTAGATTTTTGAGGTTATACATTTAAGTGACAGAGTAAAGTATGTTGAGAACAGTTTCTTCCAGATACACTGAGCGCTGATGAGGTACAAGTTGGTAAGGAGTTCCTAGTCCCAAAGTAGCATAAGTGCTGGAAGGCCTACGTACGAAAATATAGTCCTTTCACATATAAAATTAGAAGAATGCTGTAAGACACAGTTTTAACCGAAAGTGCTATGGAATTATGTTTTTTAAATTAGTTTTGACAAGTCCACAATCCTGGTTTATGTTTTGGATCTTTTAAAATGTAAAAAATGTATGTAAGGTTATTCCCATTTTTCTCTTGAATTGAAGAACTTATGGTGCCCAAAAGATTGTCCACAATTGCAGTCTCCTAAGGCTAAAATATTTCTGTTAACTGTGAGAGCTAATGCTACTGTAGCATTCTGTGACTATTTGAATGTTAGATGCTCAAGGGAGGGGCAGCATGAGAAACTGTTCGCTAATTATAGGGTGTATTCAGAAAGCAAATGGACTAAACACTAAGTGGTGCTTCAGCTTTCCCTCTGAGATCCTTGTCTGACCGTGCACTCCAGGGTCAGGTTTTCTTTACCCTGCACATCTACTGTACCATACACAGCAGGCTAAATTCATATCTCTGAGCCTGCTGTTGTCATAGTTGGTTATTCTCTCTGGAGTTACATGTTTTTTTTGTTTTGTTTTGTTTTTAACTATCTATGTGATTGCCTTCTCCTGAGCTTTGTGTGAGCATTTTAATAGTTCTTTTCAAATCTTAGTTAATTCTTTTTTTTCTAAATAATAAATCCCAGTAAATACTTTCTTATATCCTTAATGCATTGTATAGTTAGTCTAGATCCTTTACAGTAGAACTTGAATTTAGCATAAGCATCTGACAATTTAAAAATAATTCTTAATGTGCTATAAAAGGGGAGAATTGTCCTGAACAGTTTGAGAGTTTACTTGCTCCTAATTGTCCGTGGCATGCCAAACGAGCTGTCTGTGCTTCTTTTGAGAAAACTGGAAAGTGAGCATGGCATCTGCTGCTTTTGGAGTGGCCTTTTTCTTATTCATTCTTCCTAGAGGCTTCCTCATTCCTAGACCTCTGGGAAAGCAGAATTATTTGTTAGCAGTTTTGCAGAGGGCCCGAACTATGGTGGAAATGACAGAATATAATAGGGTGGTGCTGTGGTTCTTCTAACCTGTTCACTGCAAGGACATACTCTAGCAGCTGCACTGAGGAAGTGGGAGAAGAGGTAAATTTTTCAATGTGTGGTAGAAGTTGCAGTAGATTTTGCAAATTCCTAGTAGTACAGGAAGTGTGAAGTGGCATGACAGTTATATGCAGTTGTATGTCTCTGTGAGGGGAAGATTATCTATCTTTGAATTAAAAAAGTGATAGGAAAAAGGGATATGATAAAAATCTGAGGTAGATTGTAGTGCTTCACTGAATAAACGTGCTGCCGTGGAAGTCTGCAGCAGTCTTACCCTTCGCTCTGTTGAGAGCAGGCTTAGGTGGAAGCTGGGATAGTGGCTTTATTATGACATATGTTTGATAGCTGCTGTGATGCAGACATCTCTTTGTTTCTATTTCATGGTTTCTTTTTTACCTTTAATGTTCCTATTGCCAAACAAAATCTTCCAGAAGGAAGAAATGAAATTGATAAAATTAATGCAGCTTATATTTTTGTCAGCTGTGGCCATAAGTAAAGAAATGCTTTTAAAACCGAGGATCAGTGTTTGGCTCAATTACAGATAACTCCTGCAATATGTAAAAGTTTGAATAATAGAACAAGTAGAACGAAGAGAAGCTTGTTTATATCAAAGGTTGTTTAGGTATTTCATCTTAAATAACAAGTACTGCAAGTCAGAATGACAGTGATTCAACCAAATCTATTACCCCACTGGACCAAAGTTCACGGAATACTGCATATTAAAAGAAGCCTGAGATTAGAAGTAAACAGTGTTTTGATTATTCAGGTTTATTCTAAAACTGTTTCTTTAAATTGCTTTAGACAGGGTACACTTTAATTTTCACAAATATTGACATCTATTTACCGTGGTCCTAATGATTCAATTTCTTTTTTTTCCCCATTCGGATTGCTTTGCACCCCCACAGTTGATGCATAGTCCATTTGTGCTAGTCTTAGCTTTCGCTTAAATGTTTCCAGCTGTTAATTTCCTAGGTTTTCCTTGTTTGCAGCTGTTTTACCCTGCTGTTATAAGGAAGTAAATTAATCAGTCAGTTTTATTGGCACACCAACAACGAAGTGCAGTGTTAGAAGCTATGTAATGACTTCATTATGTATGATTTCTCATTTGCACTTGTAAACTCAGTTTACCAGGCAACATCAATAAACTAAAATGCTGCACCCATTTTCCACAGTAAGACATTTTCAGTTCACCTTTACCTTGCAATCGCTTTCTGAAGCCCCCTTTTTTAATCTCTAGATGAGGAGGTTTCCCCCAGATTTATACTTTGGTGCATCCTTCTCCCCAGAATGAAAACTTTCATAATATCCCAGGAAAATGGCTAATCTTATGGGAAGCTCTTGCCAAGGAATTAACTGGTTCTGAAAAGAGCTTGAGAGCCATGGAAGATGAGGAGGTGAATATTAACTTTCAGAGCAGCGTTGTGCCTGAAAAGGTTATTGTAATATTTGGACGTATAAACAGGGGAGAGCAAATAAGAGGAAAATGGTTGCATTACCTTTCTGTATTAACTGTTAATGCACTTGCGTCACTGTTACTGGAATAACGTGTTCAGCTGGAGAACAGTCAGGGATGAACCACAAATATCTCAGGAATCATTGGAGTATTTGAAAACATGTCTTATTATGAAAAACTCATGCAGTTCAATCTGTTTAGTGTTAACAAGGAGGAGGTTAAAGAGTGGCTTGCTTAGGCCCTAAGAAGCACGATACCATGAGGAACAGAAATTTGATAATTCTTCACTGTAGTGAACAAAGGGAGAACTTACAGCTAATGTCTGGAAGCTCTAGCTAACATAATTAGAATAGAAATAAGATGTACGTTTTTAGTAGCAAGAGTATTTGAGAACATGAAGAACTGCCAAATATTTGGTTTCTATGTGTGATAATGAGCCTTTCCTTTTCAGAAGGTTACCATAGCTATCCAGGTTCTTGTATTTTAGCGCCTGAATAAGGGACATCCTCTTTTCTCAACAGCTGGGATAACCTTAGGTTTTTTACCTCAAGTATTTTCCAAGGCAATATTGAGACCTATTCCTTTCCCCTCACAGACATGCACAACTCCTTTGCATTTTATTTCAGTCTGTAGAGGTACAGGTTTTAAAAAGAGCTTAACCTTAGAATAGCTTCATTTGTTTTTCCTTCTTCTTGCAGAAGTGCATTTTAAATACCTGCAAGCACCTTCTCCTTATTTTCACTGTATGAACTGGTAGCCTGTAATGGAGACGTTCTGCTTCTGTTGTCACTCACCTTTGGCAAGTGAGGAAGAGTGAGTGTTAAAACATAAAGCAGGATAACCTATGGCTATGCTTCATTCCTGCAAAGTTAAAGGAGTTTCTGCTGTTCCATGTTACCACAATGTCCTGTTTTGTTCTTTGGGAAAGCTTTTTGTTTGTTTGTTTGTTTTTTTTTTTTAAGATGAAGTGGCTGTGAAGATGGATTTCAGAATTTTAGGCTGAAGTTTTGCATAGAGTTATCATTAGTATGTTTTGTTATGTAGGGGAAGGAATGTTTAGGAGGCGGAAGAAAATGCCAGTATTTAATATCCAAAAGGATTTAATATCCTTTCTGGTTCTCAAGCAGGACCTTAGCTTTGTGATATTTAAGAAAACAAAAAACATCTACCATAGATTCAAATTGTCATGAATAATTGATTAATAATAATCCAATTCTCAAGATTAAATACGTAAAATATGCCCACGTTTTACAGATGGAAAGGTCATTGCTATCCATCATTTTCTAGCTTCAATTGCCTTTCTCCTCCATGAAACACCCTCCTGATAAGACTGTTCTTCAGAGAAAGGGATGCTTCATTTTACTCTGCATAATTAAAGAATTATGTTTGTTGTTGTACCCCTGTTTTATTTAGTAAATGTACTTTTTTTACTTTTTGTTATAGTGAGATACAAAATTAGATACTTTTTATCTTTTGTTTTATATATTTTCATGTTAATATTTTTACTTTACACGGCTGTTTAATCACAATGTTGTCTGGAGAGTCCCTTTTCTTATTGGCTGAGCAGCGGGGTTTTTTCCGTACTTTAAATGATGCAATTTGGGTTTGGGACGTTTTTTGCTACTAGCAAGAAGTTGTTAGAATTGTGTTTTTGTTTGGTCTAATCCAGAATATCTTTTACTGGATACCATATAGTGCACATTAATCTTACATACATTGTGAATTTAGTTGTTTTCATTTTATTTAAAAAATAATGTGAGTACCAGCGATAACTTAAATGGGTCTTTGCAAAGTTAGAAAGTATGACACCTACAGTCTTCTTTCAGTGTAACTCAGTGTGGGCATAGAAATCTTGAAGAATTGATTAATGCAAATTATTCAAAATATCTTGCTGAGTCGAAAGGTGTTTTATTTTACTTACAGCAGTGATGGCATAATGTTCCAATACACCCACTCCATCTCTCTGTGGCAAAAAGTGTGGACCTATGAATGAACA